ACACACACACACACACACCTGTTTTCACTGTGAATGAGGGCTTTTTTTTAGGCGCAATGGTTTTTGGAATTGATGGTATTTTTTCTAAACGTCAAACCCCTCAAACTTGCTGATTTCAGTATAGCCTATTTAAAGCAAACCATGAGACATAGTGAGGAGAAATGCCCTCATCGTTGCATTTTCATGTTTCACTATACATTCTTAATTGCATTTTCGAAAAAAATACAAACTGTTAGCATTTCAATGTGTAGCTTAATTGTCATCCACAGAGACAACAAATAAGAATTAGAACATTTTTCACGGATACAAATAATACAAATAGTAATAGTATTACATAATATAATCAAAATAGTAACAATATAAGGAACTTGATGTCATTTAATGATCATTTTTTCATTAAAACAGCACACATCCACTACTCGACTACAGTTATCAAAAATGCATTTCTATACTTAAAGAATTTAGATTATTAGCCGCATACATCAAACTTCACAGTTTTAGTCCTATCTACATTCTGAAGGTTTTTACTGAGGGGTTTGTTCGTCTATCGCTTGCCTGATTTTATTGTATTCCTAAAAACAGGGTGAACATGTGAAGAGTTCAGATGCAAAAGCCTCTAAGTGCCATATAACATTTTGTTCTAAAATGAGCATTTTTCTCAGGCTCCTATGTGTAGGTTCAGTCATTTCACTTTAATAGCAATGAATAGGCTCTTTGAATAGGAGCCTGTGAAAAAATGCTAATTTTAGATGAAAATTTCAGACGGCACTTAGAGGCTTTTGCATCTGAACTCTTCGTGTATTTTTTTTTTCCTGGCTGTTGGCAGAATAGAATTTGATAGAATAGAATAGTTGAAAAATAGAACTCAGATTATTAGCCTGAACATTTTCAGTGTTCCCTGTATAGAAACTTTATTTTTCCCAAAGCAAAGTGCTATTAAAACTGAAATCCCCCTTTTCCTCTCTATTATTAAAAACACAAAACTGAATCAGAAACCGATTATTTGGGGTTTATTTCAGAGCCGTGGTTTAAACAAACTTGTGCATTTGAAATATTAAATATAAAACTATAGTGTATTTTAAAATGTGGCTTTGGGGCAGACATCACAGCAAACAAACATTAGGTACCTGAAACCAGACAGGCCGCTGACAGGCATGAGAGTCCAGAGTCCTTAGAGTCAAGAATTGAATCTGAACAGACAGACAAGACCATACAAGGTTAAAGAACCTCAGTGAGAAGTGCAAAGAGAGACATTTAATGCACAGAATGAAGAAATAAGGGCCCACAGCCCGGTGAATCCACAGAGACAGTCTGACAGACATAAAGGTGGCTCCATTGCTGATAAGAAAGCACGCACAGCGAACACTGTAATGTTTTACTGCTACATTATATTTACAAGCCTGTCGAGATGGAGCCCATATTGTCTGCAAGCTAGATGGATATGGGTGATGTCTCTTCATTATGATCTGTGCAGGGCTAGACAACAGCTGTTGTATATCATATATAATACACCTCTGATTCAGTCTTATCCAGATGGCCAGGTGGATGTGAGATAATGAGATTTCATCCCGATGTGTATGCATGTTTACAGTAGGATTTTAGTCGGGTCGCAGGTCTGCTGTGGACAGTGAAAACTCAAAGCTAAATGCAAATAATAAAATGCAGCTTACATAACTATGCATTCCTTCCAAAACATGCAAGCCCTCCAAATCAAACTTGCATTTTGGTGCAAATTCATCTGCTACTTATATAACATGCCCTTATCCACAAAAAAACATTAAAAACTATTTAAGATCACAGAAAATGCAACCCAGGCTACATTTAATACAAGCTACAATTATGACAAACATAATGCCGAAGACATTTATGTTTTTGTTTTGTTTTTTACATTTTTTTTTTGCCTTTTTTTGTTGATGTCAAAAGCTGTGGGTCCAATCAAACTCTATTGCATTTCGGTGCAAATCCATCTGAAATTAGACAGGCTGATATGGACAAATTGAGAGACATGCCCCTCATTTTCAAACACAATGAAGAAAAATACTTAGGAAAATAGAAAATGCATCTCAGACTGCATTAAATACAAGCTACAATCAGGGCAAGCATGTTTTTTTCCACAGTGTGATTTTATTTTAAAGACTTTTTTTAACAGTGTTGTACTTTTTTGTTCAGTGAGCTGCACTGTAATCAATAAATTCTACAAATACTTTTAAAGTGCTAAATAAAATCTGGCCGCTCACTCCATGCCATAAGACTATTGTAACGTGCACACTAAGGGTGAAGCTTTACCACAATACCACACAAAAAAAAAACTCAAAGTGCTAAACAAGCAGAGCTGAGAGGCAGGAATGCAGCAGGAACAAAATGTGCTTGTGTTACAGTGTTGCAAATCTCTGTGTCTGGCCTTGGCCCCCCGAACCCAACAGGCTTATCATCCGATATTTGGCCGTGGATGAGCCGACTCACTTTAATCCCCTTATAATTTCAAGAACATTCCACACATTCCAGCAGGCCAGTCGTGGCCAGCAGGACAGCGAACAAAATGTTGATTTTTGACATTGTACTAGTGGCGATTCACACAAAGGTGAACATGCACGCATTAATCGATAACTGTGCACTGGGTTTGTGTGTAAATGTGTATGCAATTGTCATGCAACAGCATGCATTTACAAGGATTAGAAGCTATTTAATTTGTCTATACATTAACCCAGCCAAGTCACAGTTTTGTCCACCTGAAATGACTTTCCAACAGGATGCATTGTCACTTAAATGAAAGTCTGTTTCTGTGTCATTCGATGTACCTCATTTTGCAATCAGGTGTGGAGACAGAACTGAGCTGATCTGAGCTCAGATTGCCTTGTGTTGATAGAAACACGGCCATGAACTTTCCACCATTGCCAGATCCCTCCCAACTCCCGCTTCTTGTACACACACACCATACACACACATAGACATTCAACCACTCTAGTGTTGATATGATGTCATCGTACGCACACATAGGAAGTGCCTTATAAATTCAGGCAGTCATGCACCTTTGGAGCAGAAAGGGTCCCCTAACCAGGCTTGAAGGAACACCTGCTTGAAATGTTTGAATAACATGATAATATCAAAGTAGGGTTGGATACGCATAAGGAATACTGATCTGGATTTAAAAGATTTTAAAGGCAAAACATGTTGAAGTTTGGTGAAGCTGAAGCTGATGAAGCTGGAATAATGTTAGAAAGGAAAGAAACAGGATATTCAGTGAGAAAAAAGACTGATTGGATTGTGAATATATGAAAATTATATGAAAAATGTGACGTAGTTGTAAGGAGACGAAAACCATTTCAGAAGCGGAGAAAATTATAACATTCTGATGAAAGATTATAATCATGGATTTCTTTGGAATTATGCAATGTCTGTGCAAAGTGTGTGTAAATAGTGTCTATTTTGATGACTTTAAACAAAGTTCCAAACGTAGGTTCAGGAGGAGCCTAATCTTTCAGTCCTTACAAACCTATATAAGCTGCACTCATTACGCTGTCCCAGTGAAAATTCTTCCAGCATCCCTCCCCCCCCCCATCTCCTCCTCTATTTCTGTTATTGGGGGGTTTGAACTCAGGGCTCAAGCCGAGCCTCGACAGCAAGTTTGTTTACCATTAACCATCAGGACTGGATGGGCAGGCGAATTTGTGAAAAAGAGGTTTCAAGCTAGAAACTTCTGTTTGCACTCATTTACTGTATGCACTGGTCAGTTTATTGGTTATTTGGCTTTTCATAACTTTTTTCAGATGAGTGGAAAGAAAACATTTTAAATACACTTTTGGTGTTTATTTGATCGTACTTTATCTATTTGCATCTGTAGATTTCAATACATATGTTTAAAGGCCAATTTCCAAGAATTAGTTTTTTTTCATTCTTGTCAGTATTCTGAAGGTTTTTCGAGAGTGGTCAGTTTATATATCATTTGCCTGATTTTATACAACATTTTATTTATAAAAACATGGTGAGTGTATTATTATTATTATTATTATTGTTGTTGTTGTTATTATTATTATTATTATTATTATTTCTGGCTGGCTTTGATTTACGGTGTGATAAAAAAAAGAAATCCAAAATATTTTTTGTAAAATCTTTTAACTGTAATATGTCAACAAAATGAAACAAGAATTTTGAACCTTTCTTCAACCAATGTTCAGATTAATTTTTTGTAAATTCAGAAAACTTGCAATACAGTAAATGTTTGTAGTTCTTAATGTAATCAATCAACTGGGGGAAGTATGATGATATCTATTTGCTAAATCTTTACCCTTTTTACCTGTAGTGCTTTACAGAAAAAGAAACTTGGGTTACACTTTACTTGAAGGGGTGTGCATAAGACTGACATGACACCTACATAATCATGACATGACACATGTCATGAATATGAAGGGTTTTTATGCATGTTTATGACAACTGTCATTAAGTGTCATTCGCTCAGTTATGTCATTTTTAATGCAAAGATGACATTGTTTGAGATGTCTTTGTTATGGGCTATGGTTATTATCAAGTGTAGGGGTCAAATAATGTCATATTTGCATTAAAAATGACATAACTGAGCGAATGACACTTAATGACAGTTGTCATAAACGTGTCATGTCATGATTATGTAGGTGTCATGTCATGATTATGAAGGTGCCATGTCAGTCTTATGCACACCCCTTCAAGTAAAGT